AAGAAGACAGCGCCAGTCACGGGTGGTTCTCAGCTAGTCAATTGTCAGCAATTTAAAGGGCTCATCCTTAAAGTCCAAGGAAATCACTAAGGTAGCCCCACCCCCCACCCCCATGCCATACCATGCCAACCTTTTGCTCTATCTGGTCATCAGCAGCCAGTGTGTGCCTAGCAGTCCCTCTGTGTTTGGGAACAAACTTCACTTTCACACGTGTGCTTCATTGTGGCACTGAAGTGGGTGCCCTGACTTAAAGGAATAGAGACACTTCGCTTAGAGAAGAGTCAGTGGAGACCCCCGCCCTGGACCTAAAGGCCTGCAAAGTGGATGTTTAAAGGAGCAAGGGTTGTGTTTCCTGAGGAAGCAAAGACAGGGTCTCCCATTCTTCATGAGTGACAGTGTTTCTAAGTCAGAAGACAGATCTTGGGCTGTGCTCCATCAGGGATGGAAGGAGGACATGTGTCTAAAGTGACAGCAGGAAAATGTAAAACTGAATTTAAGAAGTTCCTGACAGTTAGGGTTGTGACCCAGGAAACACATTGCCCACATGGCCTGTGGGAACTCCTTCCCTGGGAAGTTTAAAGCCAAGGGTGGACAGCTGTTCTGGATGTTTCGGCCTCGTTCCTCTGGACGGCAGGGCTGGCCTGCTGTAAGCCGTCTCATGAGCCCCCCTCGTGTTCCAGGATCATGTGCTACTTTATTTCATCTAGCACAGGTTCGCACACAGATACGTGGTAAATCGTGCATGGTGCACAATTTGGGGCTGCCCAGTTTTGGGGATTAGGATGATGGATCTGGGAACCGTCTTATTCCTAAAAACATTTTTACTGTCCTCAGGTCAAACCATCCTTCTCTTTGAGTCTTGGATTGGTCTTCCCAAGTTATTAGTGCTCTTCCAACCATTTTTCTTTCTAAAAAAAAACAAAAAGGCAAGCATAGGAGGCAGTGTGGATAGCCATAGTAGTAGTGATAAAAGGCCATAATTTATATCGAGCTCTTACCATGTCCCTGTTCCTGTGCAAAGCATTGTGCACCGCTTGTTCCAGTTCCTCCTCACAACCCTAGGCAGTAATGATGTTGTTACACCCATTTTACAGATGGGAAGACTGAGGCTTTAGCAGATGAGTGAGGATTAGGCTAGGGTTCCAGCCCAGGTGCAAGGCCATGCTCAGGTGATTTTACTCAGACTGATCAGGGCTCATAGCTTCCTTCCATCACTCTGTAGCTGGGGTCTGAGACACGCCACTTCAGTTCTCTGAGCCTCACTTTCTTTTGTTGGTAAAAATGAAGAAAATGATCCTTATTTCGCAGGGAAGATTCCATAAGATAGGCAGATGAAGCCTCCAGTGTAATATCTGGCACATACTAGGTGCTCAGTTAACATCGGCTCCCTTCCCCCTGCTTCTCCTCTCCCCCTCCCTGGATTTTCCTGGTCTCGGCCATTCCTGCATGATGTCCTGGTTCTAATCAGGTCTCTCAGTGACAGGCAGGCAGGGACATTCTGCAGCCCAGCGTCCCTCTGACTGATGTCTACTGCTAATTCCCTAAATTTACATATCATCTTTCTCCCCTCGAGCTCATAGCACTTAACAGACAAGTGGGGCACAAACGATTTAACTCAGTGAAATTCAGAGGCCTGCTTGTCTCGAGATTCTGCAAACTAGTGGATTAGCTCAGATGTCAGCACTGAATTATGATCCCTCAGCTGCTCGTGCTTAGCACGCCACCAGCATTAACTCCCTGGTCTTCCAGTGGCCCTTTAAATCATGCATAGCGATTATCATCTTATTGTGAGGTGGGGGAGGGGAGAGGAAGGGGCTGAATTTGGGCCGTGGGAGGAGCAGCCTGTGAAACCTTTGGCCTCATTGTGCCGAAGTTTTAGCAACAGGATGGGTAAGTGCAACAGACCCAGATAACACCCAGCCAGCCCTGCTCTTTACACCTCCTCGCACATTTTACTTCCTAAATCCTACCCATTATGCCGAGATTCCCCTGCCGCTTAATGTAAATTCACACAAGTGACAGTATCTCTGCCAAGCAATTTTCAGGCGGCAAGGGGGTCTTATTTGTGAAACTGTGAAGGAGGAAGGCTGAATAATAAGTCTCGGAAATCTGGCTGCCTTTGTATCAGGTGGAGACAGTCAGGGCTTGGCAAGGACTGCAGCAGGGGGAGCATTTGGGGGGTTCTCACCTGTGGCTCCGGGGCTGGGACGTCCACAGGTCCCCCTGTTCTTGTTAGTTCACCTCACTTTTGAAAAGGGCTATTGGCCCGGGCGGGGGCAGTGGGGGCAGGAGGGGAGGTATGGTGAAGATATTTCATGAGTCTGAGGGATTGCCAGAGGCTAGCTGATTCTCCCTCTGTTCTTAGTTCCAATACATAGCCTCCTATCATTCTTTACCCATGTGTGTGTCATTCAGTCATTCATGGGAACAACATTTATTTTTAATAGTGGCGTAGACATGTCACTATCTAGGGGCCGGTGAGAAGAAGTCCTATTAAGCCTTATGTGTGTGATACCAGGACCTGTTTATCTAACTGGGGAGATAATAAAATCACACAAGAAACAGTTAAATTTTAGTAGAAGGCAACCGGTGTTTATGTGCTGAAATGCATGAAAAAAAAAATGGCCTCCAGTCTTTTTAAACACAAGGTACAACGAGTAGTACGGTCTGTAAATGCTCGAGTTGTTCCGAGGAGGGAGGTATTAATGTTGAAATGTGCCAGGAGGGTTAGGAGAAAGACTAGCCAAACAGGTGGGCTCTGCGGATTGGTCAGGGAGGGAGGCGTCACAGGTAAGAGGAGGAAGAGGAGCAGGCCCAGTGGGAAGCGCCTTGCATAGGGTGTGATTGATTGCCGGGCTTGGGGCAGGGTCCCTGGGCACCGCTGAAGTGGAGCACATGCTGTGTGAAGGTGGGAACACCTTCCGGCTCTGCTACTTAGCGGCCTCTCTGCCTTGGACACGTCACCTGAACCTTTCTGAGCCTCAGTTTTTCATCCTGTGCAAAGTAAGATGAAGCAAGCCGAGCTCGCGCGCATATGGCAAGGATTAAATGGAATAACGCATACAAACATGCTTTGTAACCTGTGCAGCATTATGCAGATGTGACATAATTATTATCATTAACAGCGGCAGTAATGAGATCTGATGGGAGAAGCATAGGTTAGAAGCGCACTGCGTGTCTGGCTGTGGCACCGGTGTCTCCTCCCTCCACAGATCACCGTCATTAACAATCTCGGCTGCAGGCAGCCGCCTGGGTCTCTGTGCTGACTTTGGCCTTGGAGAGGTCTCATGTTGTGGGGTGTTAGACAGACATGGCTTTCCCTGGTTAAGGAGACACAAAGTGGAATCCCAACTATGCATCCTAAGCCGCTCTCATTTGATTCAGGGCGGGGGAGCTTCTAGAGCCATAATCCGGAGGCTGTACCCAGAGGGGCTTAGAGAAGAGACGCGAGGTGACTGGAGGAGGGGAGGCAGGGGCTGTTTCTGATGGTGGACTGCCGCAGGCTCAGCTCTCACGAGAAACATGACGTCAGCAGGAGTAACAACAGCAAACCAGTGGTTTCTGAGCTCTGAAGTCCTGGCCTGTCCTTCCCCAACAAGCCCCAGGTGCTCACACCCTACTGAGTGAGAAAGTCCATGCACGTCTCCCATTAGCAGGACCCCGAGGTGGCTGACGTGCGGGGTGCGTGCGGCAAGGGTCCCTGCCCTCCTGCGGAAGTGACCAGCCCGAGCGGTTTCAGGGCCAGCAGGAGCCAGTGAGGGTTCTCCTCAGGGGCCACCTCGCTCTCTGTACCCGTGGCCAGAACCCCCCTCCCCCCACACGAGCTGGATTTGCAGGTGCAGGTCCCACACCTGTGTCTGCAGGGCCTGAGGTCTGCGAAGGGGAAGAGGAACTCGGTCTTTCACATCGTGTCTGATGTATCTGAAAACTCATCAGCTAAAAGGCCCATCCTCTGAACGTTTGGATGGGAGAAACCTTAACTTTCCAACATGTGTACGTCCCCTACTAAACACATAGCCTTCGTCCGTGATGATGACAGCGCCTGTGTTCCCTGGAGCTGTGTTGGCCTAGTGTGTGCGAAAGGCCAAGTTCAGGCCTCCCCAGGACGGGCAAGGAAGGGGGTGGAGCCTGAGAATCTCCTACTCAGCCATCATCCCCTGTTCTCTCGAAGCTGACACTAGGCTTCTGATTTACGGTCGCCCAGGCACCGTCGAGTAACGCTGGCGGAGACAGAAGGTTTTAAATGTTTTGCATTTGGACAGTGCCCAGCCAAGATGACAAAGGCTCGGAGCATAAACCACCTGGCCAGCACCAGCCTCTAGTCCAGCAGCCACCTCACCCCCTTGCAATGCAGCGCAGTAGACTGCGTTGGCCCCTTGGGTAAGCCAGTGATGAAGAAGATGCGGGTCTGGCCTCTTAGGGTCTAGTGCAGTGATGGCGAACCTTTGAGCTTGGCGTGTCAGCATTTTGAAAAACCCTAACTTAACTCTGGTGCCGTGTCACATATAAAAATTTTTTGATATTTGCAACCATAGTAAAACAAAGACTTATATTTTTGATATTTATTTTATATATTTAAATGCCATTTAACAAAGAAAAATCAACCAAAAAAATGAGTTCGCGTGTCACCTCTGACACGTGTGTCATAGGTTTGCCATCACTGATCTAGGGAGAGAAGACAAGTAGACACAACCAGCCGAGACATCGGGCCAGCCCTGCCAGGTGCCCTCCGTTAATGTGGCTCAAAGACAGTGATGCCGAGGAATAGGCAGGAGGGACTGGCTAGACAGAAAGACTCAAGGGCCTCAAGAGGACCCAGTATCTGAATCAAGGCCCTGAAGGAGCCATAAGGAAGGGAGGTGGGGCCTGCAGAGCCAGGACTTGAAAAAACAAGACACTCAAACTCGGGCCCCAGCTGTTCGAGGGAGGGGCAACAGCTGCAAACGGGTGTCTTTCCCAAGCGTTTACCAGGAACCCCTGTTTGGTTTGTTCCCCCCCAGATGACAGAAACTTCTTGCGGCTGCAGAGCGACGGGCGGAGAGAAGGCCAGTACGCGCGGCTCATCAGCCCGCCCGTGCACCTGCCCCAAAGCCCCGTGTGCATGGAGTTCCAGTACCAGGCCACGGGCGGCCGCGGGGTGGCGCTGCAGGTGGTGCGCGAAGCCAGCCAGGAGAGCAAGCTCCTCTGGGTCATCCGCGAGGACCAGGGCAGCGAGTGGAAGCACGGGCGCATCATCTTGCCCAGCTACGACATGGAGTATCAGGTGGGGTGGTGGCGGGAGCCGGTGCGGGCATCCGCGGGTGTCCTTGTGATCTGTATTTCAATATTTCAAAGGGCTGTCTGCGCCCATTCATCATTAGGGAACGTGGTTAAGCTGCTGTTTTCATTGTGTTTCTCACGTTGCCATGGCAACTAAATGACACTCTTATTTGTTATTCAGAGTGTGCCTATCTCTACACCCAGACTTGGTTCTTTGTTCCTCCTATTGCCTTTTATATTGCTGAAATCTTCTCCAGCAAATGTTTCTTCTCTCCATTTTAGTTTAGATTGCTATCCGGTAGGCTGACAAAGGGACACACAAGCCAGGGAAATAAACACAAACAAACCCTCCACGCCCAGGGAAGAGGCCCGTGGAGCCGCTCAGACTCCGGGGCGGTGGGGTGGGGCTAGGGGAGCAACCTCCCAGGCCTGTCCCAGCCCCAGGGCGAGCACAGGAAGGGGAAGGGTTGCTGTATGTGCTTGGTGGCCAGCAGACCAGAGAGACCCGGCTCTAAACTAAACGAGTGGTTTCTCTCCCCGAGGCTCCAGGAGTTGAGTTCCATTATCTCAGCCCCACAGAGCGAGAGACTGAGGCACAGATGGGTATGCGCAGCTGTGGCTGAAGCTTGGGTAGAGGTGACACACTGTGGAAGAGGTGACTAAGAACCAGCCAAAGCATTAACCTGCTCCTCCCCAGACGAGAAGCAGCAACAGATGGCTGGTGAGGCAGCCAACTGCTCGCTTCGCTTGCCAGAGGACATGTGCTAGTGTGCGGAGAGAACCTGGGGAGGGGGAGGGGAAGGGAGGGGAGGGCCAGGGAGCAGAGGGGCGCCTGTGTGTTGTAAGGGGTCCCGAGTTCCTCCCCACCCCCAACCACATTCTCACTGATAAACATCAATGCAATGTATTTTCTTGTAGCTGTTTGCATTTTTGTCTCACCTGTGAGATTCTCAGAGGGGCTTGTCTATTAGGTTTTGTAGCTATCCTTGTGCCTGGCACACAGTAGGTGCGTAGTAAACTATTTCCCTGCTAGTTATCATAATGGAGCCGTAAGACAGTGTTACCCCCAAGGCAATCCAAACCTGTACACTGTATATTTCTCACTTACCCCCACCTGCTCAGGTCTCCTGAGTTTCCAAATACCTCTGGGCTGGGCCTGTGAAAGATTTATGGTAAACGAACCTCAAAAATGCTAGGGAACATTTCACCCTTCTTTAAACATACTCTGAACGTGTTTCTTTTCATCAATACGTTCCAGTTACTGGACAACAGTGTCCATCACCTTGTAATATATATTGTAATCCCTTCAAAGATGCATTTGACTTGAAACAATAACAGAAAGCTGGGAATCCTGGCACTGGGTGGCCCAGGGAGCTCCGTTAACCGTGCCTCTGTTCCTCTGGCTTCCAGATTGTGTTCGAGGGCGTCATCGGAAAAGGACGTTCCGGAGAAATCGCCATCGATGACATCCGGATAAGCACCGACGTCCCGCTGGAGAACTGCATGGGTACGTGGCGATTTGTCTCTTTGCGGTTCTTCCAGACGAGACGCCAAGAGCTGGGATAGACCCGAGGAGGCAGCACGCCGCTCAGACACAGTTGCTCCCCCGTGGGTGAGGCAGCGGCAGCCTGTGCGGAGGGGAGGCGTGAGTGTAGCTGTGTCTTAGGTAGGGGTGTCTGATGAGGGGACGCCTTCGAGCCCTGTTCCCATTCAGAAATAGACATGCGCTGAGTATATGGAGATTGGGGGTGCCGGGACCCCATCCTCAGACTCCCGCTTTCAGCAAAGAAAATGCTGGAGGATGAGAACAGCTGCCAGTCAGAATTACATGCTGGAGAGGTTTGATGGACTTAATGGGAGCCTTCAGTGGTGAGCAAAAATAGTACCTGTGCCATATCAGAGTGATCGCATAATTACCCGGCAGTTCTTTTGCATGAATGAATCGCAGGGCAAACTATGGCATGTGAAGTAACATTTTAGATTTGGCTTTGAAGCGAATGCCTCTAATGGCCAAGCTCCCAGAATTATCGTAAGATGAAGCACGGCACACCAGGTGGCCAGTATGGGAAGGGACCATGACAGTCCCCTTAAGCAGAAGTACAGCGCAGCCGGCCCACCTCCCATATGCACCCCGGGGCACCCTGGTCATCCTCCATCAGCCGCAGACGTTCCTAAAAGCCAGAGGGAATCCCGAGAAGGAAGGGAACCCGCCTTCAGCCGGCAGGGTGACTGTAGTAACTCACCAAGTGCTTTTCTTGGCACATGGGTCCCGGGCGTGTGTGCGTGATGATGTCAGGAGCACCTGGGACCCTCAGTCCCTTCAGGCAGCTCTCAGGCCCGGGCCTCTCAGACTCATCCAGACTCTGAGAAAGTAATCAGCCGTAAGTGGCTGATTACAATGCTTCTGGGACCCGTTACTCCATAAAGGGCTTTTTGTTCCAAAGCAACTTTGCGCAGCTCTCCCCACCCACCCGGCCCCCATGATGATGGTGTGTGAGACAGTCTGGGGCATGCGGAGGACTTGGGACACTCTCCAAGGGGCATTATAAACAGACTCAGTCAGTGGGAGTCACCTACGCCGTGCCCTGTGTTCCCTGATTCTTTCTTCCCCTTATCTAACGCAAAACGTTTTCTGTTTGTTTTTCCAGAACCCATCTCAGCTTTTGCAGGTGAGAATTTTAAAGGTAAAAAAAAAATTTTTTTTTTTGCATGCCTTTTCCTTCCCCTCATGTGATGTGCATTGGATGGAGAGAATAAACCTCCAAGTGTAACAAGTCTCCTAAGAGAACATAGACGCTACCCCTTCCCGCCGCTAGATGGCACCAGCAACGCCTGGAGAAGCTGGGAAAGGGGGATTGAGATCCTCCCTGTCTCCTGTTTAATTAAAGTTTAGAAACCTCTAATAGAGACAAATAGGTTACAGATAAGCCTTTCAGCCTCGCATTGTCCGACGGGGAGCAATGAGGCAGAAAATGCGTGAGTGGTGAGAAAGGAGAAGCTGTGAGCAGACTGAACAGCAACAACAAAAAAATCGGGAGTGAATTAACAGTGAAATGATGTGGCCATGATTTATTTTAGCCTGAAGACAGGTTCTTCCCAGTCCCAACTCCAGGGTTCCCAGGCAGCGGTCTCAATTAACCTCCGGCGAGCGACAGGGGCAGGCAGTGTGGTGCGGGAGGACAGTTCAGGGAGGAGCTATCCAGCCTAAAGAGGAGAAGTTGCAGAATTCAGGAGCTGGCCTCTAATGAGGGGACTCGGAAGGCACATTCGATGGCTGGGATTTGAGCACTTAGAGGACGGGAACACAGAAACGGACATTTTCTTCCTAATAAAGCACATAAGAGCGGGTCAAAGAGAGAAGAATTTCGGATGTTTGCCTCATGGGGGGGTGAGGGGGCTCCATGCTGGGGCGATTGACCATGAGACAGCCGCATTCTCATTCTTTACGCCTGGGCTTTTATAACGCGCCGGGTCTCACATGTGGGGCTCTTGGCAATCCAGTTGGCTGGCGCTGCTGAAGTGCCCACCCAGGTCCCAGTGCTAAGCATTTAGAAGCCACTGGAAGCGCTCCAGTTCATGGCCCTTGTGGAGAGCACCCTCAGAGGCCCTCGCCCGCACCGAGGGACGGGTTTCTCAGAACCTGCTCTGTGCAGACAGCCGTGAGGGTGCTGGGCCCTGTTTGTACTGGCTGGGCCTCACCCCGTAGGTGACAGCACTTCAGAGATAAGGGAAGTCAGTTTTCTATCTGAGTCTAGACTCATTATCTTCACTCCCATTAATCTGTCCAGCTCGTGGCTGCAAAGAGATGAATTCCCGGTTTGTCACCTAGATGCGCTCTCTGGCTCGAAGTCAGCTCGCCTAATTTGCCACTCATCCCCCACAGCCTAAGACAGGAAGGGGTGGGGGGAGCCGAACAGGGAATGACAGACCCACACATACTGTCTTCTCTTTCTTTCTCACCTTCGTTGCCCCCTTGAGCCCCATCCCCACCCCCCATTGCACATTTTGAAGTTATTAAGAGCATTCCCGTGCCTGCGTTGGTGCTTTTTGGATGTGAGATGGATGTTCATGCAAATATAAGTGTGGGGAGGAATTCACTCCCGATGGGCTTGGGTACCGTTGAATTCAAGGTCTAACCTTCAGGACCCAAGGAAAATTGGTGCTGGGCATGGAACCTGCTTCTGTTGTTTCCCTGGACTCTCATGGGTGGATGAGACTGGAAGCTCCCAGGGAGGCTGGGCAAAGGCATCCAGCCACTGCGGCGGACAGTGCTCTGTGCGCACGCGCAGGCCCGGGTCTGTGACGGACAGGCCCGTGGCCGTGACGGAGTGCTTGGCTTCCATAGGAGAATAAACAAACCAGGCACATGTGGGCTCCTTGAGGCTGTGTTTACCAGGGAGCTTCACCGTCCAGTCGTGTTCCCTTGTAAAAATATATATATATATATATAAATGAAATCTCATCAGAGCCACACCACTCATTTAGCCAAAATAAACACAGATCTTAGTGACTTCAAGGTAAGAATTTCCAGCACTCCCGACGGGCTGGTTTAGGGGTTGAGCAAAGGCAGACACGGGTGGCATGGGTTGGCCCCTGGCTGCTGTCTTGGGAGATAAAGAGTATCCTTGGCGGGAAGAAACCAAGTCTCGGGGAGCAGAGACTCTATTCCTCTGGCCGAGAGCAGGCCCAGAATGGAGAATGGCTAGTGACAATCCCATGGACAAGTTGGACACGGAGCTCCAAACTGGTAGCCAGTGAACCCAGGGCCAGAGCCTTCTTTGGGGCTGAGGCCCAGGGGACCTCAGTATGCAACTCTGATTCCAGCAAAGCTTTCCCTTTGGGAGTGGAGAGAGGGCCGTTTGCCCTGTGGAACCTAGCGACCAGCATTCGGCTCCTCTCCTGGTCCAGGCAGGGGCAGATCTGGTGGGGGCACGAGTGCCTGGGGATGAAACCAGCCTTTGCACCGAGAGAGAGAAACCGGGTTTGGGCGGGCAGGATGCGGAAAGTGGATGCTAAAGCACTGCTAACCGCAGGCATTTACATTGTCAGTAGGTGTTCTCGAATGTGAGTTTTCTTTTCCATTATAAATTAACCATGAGACGGCAGCATTCTCATTCCTTACAGGGGAGACCAATGTACTGGGTAAATCTTGAAGGAAATGCAGTATAAGTGGCCTCTGGACCCGGGCTTATTAGCTACTCTTGATCTTTCCTATTTTGAAGTCTGTTTTCATTTTCCGCCTCTTACTCGTTTCTTGCCACGAAACATGTTCTTTTTCTATAAGTCGCCTAGTGCTTCCTGCTTAGTGTGTACACCGTCATTGTGCAGCAGGGTGTGAGTCAGTAACGAGGAGGGACACGCCATGGGGGGAGAGAGAAACGTGTGGGGAAGGGACAAGGAGAGAGAAGGAAGAAGCCGAGTTGTCACGTGGTTTTTAGAAAGACTTTTTTGCTGTTGTTATGAGTCACGTTTTAAACAATGTAGCTGGGTGTGCGCTATTTTTTTCTTTTCTCTCTTTCCTTTTTTAAGCGCTGGCTATAAACATACTACCGTCGTGTATCTTTTTCTAGAATTTGAGCTTTAACAAATGAAAATCTGTGTAAAGAAGAAGGGGGGTGGAAGGGGTGTAATTAAGGTGATGGATTGTTTCCTCTTCACCAATCCTTTCTTTTTTCAATAAAAGGAAAAAGAATAATAAAGAAGCCAGTAAAAATATATAAAGCCCGTAATCAGCGTTCCGTGGTTGGTGGCCAGGTGGCTATTCTTAGCAGCTGACAGTGGAGGCGGGAGGCGGGGTTCACATTGGAGGCTGTGGGCTTTGAAGACCCCGGGGCCTGGGTCTGGTGCCCTCCCCGAGAGAGACCCATGGAACTCCCAGGCTGGGTGCCCTTGTGAGCGGTGGTCGTTGGGGAAAGGATGTCACCACTGACGGAGGCTAAAAGGAGCATCAGTGTCTCCTGTTAATGACAGCGAATGTGGGTTGCAGGTCTCAGACCAGGTCTGAGGGTCCTGGGGCCCATCTCTTGGGTTTCACCTTCTAGAAGTCCTCACCGTTTTCACCCGAATAACCAGCAGAAAGTGAACATTGGGGCGTCTCTCGTGGGCAGGGAGGGGAGCAGTCAGGGGAGAGAGCCATGTGGGGTAGAGACAGAGCCGGCAGGGGTTCGACTCTGTGCGTCAGGTTTTAAGGCCCCTCTCTCCCTCCCCATCCCCACTCTCCTTCCCTGTTGGCTGCCTCCCAGAGGCCTTGCCCACCGGCGGCGGCAGGGCCCCCATCCCAGGGCACAGGACCTGGGGCTGGCCTCACCGTCCCGCTCTCCTCGGCTTCTTTCCTCCCACTGCTCTCTCTCTCTCTCTCTCTCTCTCTCTCTCTCTCTCTCTCTCTCTCTGCTGGGAGCACTTGTGAGACGCAGGGAGGGTTAAATGGTGTTCATGCACGTAATCCTCCGATGAAAGGCAGAGAAGTGTTCCTAAGCCCTGCCAGGGCTGCAGATAGGCAGCTGTGCTGTGTGGCTCCTTCCCGGCTCCCCCACCCTCCGGCTCCGGCTGCCAGATGCAGCCTAGGTGTTGCTGAGCCAGGGAGCCTGCAGATCAGATGTGAGCTGCTGCGCCTGCCGAGGGGACACTGAGGCATTCTCTGTGAGGGTCGCTTGTGCACGGCGCCTCTCCTGGCACAAGGCTGGCGCATCCCCTCCTGCAGGTTCACCTTCCATCTAAGCAGGGGCCAGCGGCCGACTCTCTCGGGGGAGGAGAACATTCTTTCTCCGACTCTTCCTCTCTCCAAGCGCAGAAAGGACACGCCGTGGTTGCCAGACGGTCACATAAGTGCCCCCGAAGGGATAAGAAGTGCCCGAGACGTCAGCCGGCCAACCACAGACCTGAATGGAGAGGCATTGCACTTAGTTATTTTTTGATGCAATTAATACAACTTTTATTCCAACAACTCTAGTACAGGGTACAGTTCAGGTGGTTTTGTTAAAAGAGGGAAGGAGCCCTAGCTGGTTTGGCTCAGTGGATAGAGTGTCAGCCTGCGGACTGAAGGGTCCTGGGTTCAATTCCGGTCAAGGGCACATGCCCGGGTTGCGGGCTCGATTCCCAGTGCGGGGTGTGCAGGAGGCAGCCGATGAATGATTCTCTCTCATCATTGATGTTTCTATCTCTCCCTCTTCCTTCCTCTCTCTCTAAAAATCAATAAAAATATTTTTTAAAAAGAGGGAAGGAAACAAAAACATTTTTAGCACTTTACATCTTTATGCAAATTTTGCAGGGTTGTTTTTTTTTAAATCTACATTCACCCATTAAGCATGGAATCCCCTGGATTTAAATCTTTAAGCAAAATTAGAACAGCAACATAGAAGGTTCTTTTTCTATAAGTCCATATCCTGTGTAAAAAAAAAAAAAAACATTTTCGATAGATGGGGGTCCGCATGGTGCCTGCCAGCTCAGCACAAACCCTCGGCTGACCCTCCACGCCCTGCTCAAGAGGCAAATGCAAAGAGCCGTTTCTCAGGGATATTTCATACTTCTTCATTCTTTTTCCAAACACACCACATTCTTCCCCTATCTTCTGTAAACTTTTCTAGAGGAGCCAACTTTTTTTTTTTTTTGGCTTGTTTCATCTCCCGAATTAAATAAGCCTTTTATCTGAAATGCCCCTTCACCAACACTTTATTTTCAACCTGTCCAAAAAGGACTGCCCAGACAGGCCGGCCCAAACAGCTCTTACTTGCATCCAGCCTTGTTTTTCCACTCTGAGACGATTCACCGTTGTTGTCTCTCAAAACATTGCTTTAGGAAACCTGGGCTCCCCGGCTCCGGGAGGACGGCCGTAAACTTCGCTGGGACTCCGTGAGGACCTCCTGGCGGGGACAGTCCTCAGGGAGGGGGGGGCCGCGTCCTGTCCAAGAACAGGGTCTGCGCACTCTCTGTGCAGGGCCAGGCAGTGACTGTGGGGCTCTAGGAGACTGGCGAGTGCTCAGCCCCGCCCCATAACACAGAGAGCCAGGAGCAGTGCGGGCACGCATGAGGGGACCATGTCCTACATGTGCAACTCAACATCAGGGCTGGGCCGGTGCCACCAGCACCCACTTCGGTCCCGGCCCTGCCTCTGACCGGTGGCATCTCTAGGGTTTCTCTGTGTTGCTCTGCCCTCCTCCTCCACTTTCCTCCAGAGAAAAACAGGAGGAAATCACTTACGCTCTCAGATGCTCAGGTCTCCTACCTGAGAGTCATGAGAAGTCACCAGGATAATTCACAGGAAGCCCATAGCCCGGGGCCCACCACACAGGAGACGCCCACTCAGCGTAGGGGCTGTTCCGGCCACGTTTCCCAGTTATATGTTAACCTATCTGCAGGCAGGAAGGGCAGGAGCGCCGTGCACTATGTAACCACTCTCCTTACTTCCTCCCACGCGTGGCTTCTTTGCATTTATTGTTTCTCCAGATTCAAATGCTGTGCGTTCACGTCGCCCCCTCTCCCAGCGGCTCAGAGCCTGTACCGATGAAGGCCCGTTCACCCTGGCAAATACACTTGCAATTACTGCCTCTTTAAATATGTTTCTCATTATCTCACAGAAGGAGACAACTCTGTGGAGAATTGGGGTGGGGGGGGTGATTAATAAAAAAATAGTTCAGGCATTGATTTTCCAATTGGGGAAAGAGACACACGTGAGTAAGTGGTAGAAGTGGGAGCTACCACAGGGGGCGTTCAGGTCAGCACCGGGCCGGCTCTAGGCCAGGCTGAAGCCACACCTGCGTTCTTTTCTCCCACGTTGGGGACCAAGCCCAGCCACTCACCAGCCTTGGCACCTGGCGCAGGTAGAGTCCGCCTGCAGGGGGCACCGTTATTGCGATTGTACGTAGAGGCACTGTACGAGCTCGCAGACTCTCCAGCACTTCTTCAGAATAACTGTGAGGCGGAGTGCCGGCCATTACCACGTTCCAGGGCATCTGAATTTTAGTCCAGAGTACATCCCCCGTCCATGCATCCCTCCTCCGCTCGGATGTCTGTTGGATTGCTGCTGTTGTCTGGGAAGGCGCTCTAACCCTATTGATCTATTACCTTCCTTTCCTGGCAAACCGCAGCCTCATCAGCATAGCTCCCTGAACTGCCACAGAGCCGGACTCCAAACCAGCCATCCACCCGCCTAGGGGCGTTGAATCCCTTTAGCTGGAGAACGTTCTGAACACCTCTGGCCCCCAACTGCAGGTCACCCCAAGATTGCCGGTGGGAGATGAGGGAAGGGTTATGAGGTGTATCTTCTCCTTTCTAACTCCCTTAACACTAAAAGCACAAAGGCATGTAGCATGTTTCCTCATTTCTCCAAACCAGTGTTTAAGGAAAATGTTTTAAGTAGGCAATTCAGTGTCCCCCACATGGCTTCGGTCACACAAAGTTCCTACATGTTGATCCTTTGGGGGAGGGGAATCTTACTTGCAAAAGGAAGGGGGTCTTAGACCCAAAGTGGAGTTTGTCTTCCTGAGCAGAGAACGCTGAGGCCAGGGGTCCATCACTGATTCTGACTGGGTAATCCATGTGTTGTAATTCTACCTTCCTCCAGGGGGCGCCCTAGATCCGCCCCTGTGTGCCTGACTTCGTCTCTATCATAAGAAACATTTCAGGCGTAGCAGGAAGGCCACATCCTTCCTCAGCCCCCACACTCTGAGCCCTGGGTGGTGCATTTAACGTTGAGAACCAGGATCTTGGCGGGAGGAAAGCAAAACCTTTGAACTGAAACTAGATCAGTGATTCTCAACCTTGGCTGCACATTAGAATCACCTGGGAATCTTTTTAAAAATCCTGATTTCTGGGCCTCATCCTCCGGAAATTTCTGTTTCTTTGTTACTAAGGAGGATGAGGCCCAGAAATCAGGATTTTTAAAAAGACTCCCAGGTGATTCTAATGTGCAGCCAAGGTTGAGAACCACTGGACTAGATGGTGATGGAGGGAAGGTGGGCAGCTGTGACCGTTTTCCGCTGGACAAAAATGTGTACTCCTGCCTTTGTGGCCTGGTCAGGTGCTCCCCATGGGGAGCTAATCCCTGCAGATGCACCGCCTTCCTTTCCTCTCGCAGGTGAGCTGCTGCCTCATTAGATAACAGCCCTCACTGTGCAGGGAAATCGAAATCAGAGGCAAACCCAAGGACGCCCTTCGGGCGCTGAGGAACTTGGGGCCGTCCCTGCGCACTTTGTTGTTTCTCGTGCATTCTTCCGAGCCCACAGGAAAATCCAGCGGCAGGATGGTTGCCAGGCAGCGGAAACTCTGGTGTCCTGAATAATGAGTTGACACCAGTCCGATGTGGCTCTTTTCAGCGCCTTGCTTTCCTTTGCTGTTTCTATGCATAATTTTTAATATGGTCAAAGGGGGGGGGCACTTTCTCAGCTACAGTGATGAGACTTTTAAAAGATAAAGTGGCGAGAAAAGCAGACCAGGTGATGATGAAGATGACAGCGTAGGCAGGGACATGGAGAGGGCATCCGGGGACTCTGGGACCCTTTCCACCCCCCGGGGCTGTGGACCCGGCTGCCAGGGCATGTGCCGTGTGATGCATCCTTGTCAGAGCTCCTCCAATACTGTGGCACTTGTGATAGCCTGAGAGGCATCGGCGAGCCCTGCACCGTAGTAGAAGGGATCCTAGGACTAGAGGGAGCAACGGTGGAGATCTGGGAAGGTGGGCAGGCTCTGAAATTTTGTCCAAGAAAAGTGTTCTCATTTTTCTGCCACTCTGAGCAGACATCAGAAGGTCTGACCCGCCCCTGGGCGATCCCCCAATCAAAGAGAGGAGCTCTGGTGTTTGGGCTGCAGGCGTGGGCGAACACGGACTCAGAAGTAGAAGTCCTTGCCTCTGTTCAGTCTTTTAATCACAAGCATTTACTGGGTGCCTTCTCTGTGCGTACCCGGGGGGAGAAACCAAGATGAGAGCTGATTCTTCTCCTGCTTGAGCAGCTCTGGGTCCCACGGGGAAGGCCTGAAACTACAAATGAGCTCTGTCTGTGTCCTGAGCAGAGAAACAGCCACAGAGTAGGACCAGCGAGGTATGGAGAAGGCCCCAGCATGGCCACGGCCCCCCACTGGGTAGCCCATGGATAGAGAAGATGCCTCCTTCTAACCACCGGCATCTGATGTAAGCAGCGAGGGAGGAATTTTCAGAGGTTAAGCATATATCATTTTTCAGAAGTAAAGATCATGTCTGGTTTTGGCAAGCTCAGAAGCTCCTAGTCCCATCCGGGCCAGCTTCTCATCTGATGTAGATCTCCGGGAGAAACACGTTGTAGTGCTGTTTTGCATCAAGTGGGACTCCAGCCAGTCATTCCCCAGAGTTACCCTGGACTTAAATCTACTACATCATCTCCATGGCAACCAGAGGCCAGCCAGCAAATGCGGTTGCCTTCTAAATCCTCCGCTAGCTTCCCTTCCCTCCCCTGTGTTCTCCGTGATTAAGAACGATCTCCCTCCCTTTGCCCTCACCCACTCTCGCTCTCACACACCCACGATCATTTTGTGGCCACATTTTTTGTTGCAACATCCTTCCAATCAGATTTTAAAATCCTCTGTACAGTTTTTTTAAAAAAACGAATCGTTAGTCATTGCTTGACAGTGGTAATTGACCTGTTTAGACAAGACCAGGCTGATTTCAGTGGGCCTGGAAGCCTTGGCAAGCCAAAGTGGAATTTACCTTCAAGTCTAGCCAGCCTAATTAATACGTTGTTTGAAAATGCTAGCCAGCCAGACCAAATACTGTATTTCCACCCATTCAGGGAACCAGCCTTACGGAATCCCAGAAGTCATTTCAACATCATTTATGTGTGTGTGTGTGTATGTGTGTGTGTGTGTGTGTGTAAATTATACCACTTCTCTGTATTATAGCGTAATTGTGATATAACAGAAAGAAGAGCTTTCTAATCGTACAGATCTTGGTTGAATGCCATACTTACTACCTACTTGCTGCATAACCACTATTGGTTTAACCTCTCTGGGCCTCTATTTCCTCATCTGTAAAATGGGTCTGACAGTACCTACCTCGAAGGTTGTGAATAGAAGTACTTGTTATGAACTAGATACTTGGTGTCATCTTATTCCCCTGTTCCCTTCCCTATCCACTCCAAAGCATGTGTGTGTTTCCTTTTTTTTTAATTAATTTTTTTATTAGTCTGCATGCTCTCAGCCTAGCAACACTCTTCTGTGTCTCTCCACCAGGGGGCACCCTCCTACCAGGGACCGAGCCCACAGTGGACACGGTGCCCGTGCAGCCCATCCCAGCCTACTGGTATTACGTTATGGCCGCCGGGGGTGCCGTGCTGGTGCTGGTCTCCGTCGCGCTGGCCCTGGTGCTCCACTACCACCGGTTCCGCTATGCGGCCAAGAAGACCGATCACTCCATCACCTACAAAACCTCCCACTACACCAACGGGGCCCCTCTGGCGGTGGAGCCCACCCTAACCATTAAGCTAGAGCAAGACCGCCCCTCGCACTGCTGAGGCCGAAGCAAGGACAGCACCCAAAACAAACAAGAAAGACTGCAAACACGTTGCCTCGATTTTGCACTTTTTTCTCCTCGCCTAGTCTCTGTGTGAACCCTCAGACATCTCTCTCTTGGGGCCCAAACCCTGTGCACTCTTATCCATCCTGACCATTATTCTTCAGTTCTGTTTTTGTTTTTGTGTTTTTTGGTCCTTTTGTTGATTCCAATCCAACCAACCAACCAACCAACCCCAACTCTAATGTTGCATCTTGGACTGGAGAAGAGATACACCCCTAAGCACTTCACAGCTCAAGGCTCAGCTGGTTTCCTTCCAGAGACTGGTTCCCTGACGTCCCCTTGCCTTACCCCCTCCCCCCTCCCGGTGGACCGGAGGGGAGCCCTGGATCTGTGTTTGTACATAGTATACATTCTGCGCGTGTGAGTAGCTCTGTGTGTGTGTGGGTGTGAGAGAGACCGGTTCATTGTCGGGGTGGGGAGGGGGGGGAGTGTGTGGGTGTGTTCAGAGAGGGCCCCCTTTAACTATTGTGTTACTTCTCCGGGGGGTACATTTTATGAGAAAATAATATACTGTCCTAGTTTTGTTTACTTGGAGAAGAGGTTGAAGCTTTTTGTTGCCTTATCTAGCTCTGGCTGGCTTTCTGTTGGCTACCATTGTCATCTCCGGGTACCTAAAAACCTAGAGGCCACATGGACCGAAAGGTGGCCCCTCCCATCCCCATCCAAAAACCCCATTCCTCACCCCCCTGCCCCGAGAGGAAGGTTCCCCACGCACTCAGACGTGAACCCCTGTCATGTCTCCTGGTGTCTTTGAAGTAACAAGACAACAGCCATTGGGTGCGAGCGGAACCACCTCTGCTTCCAGCCCTGAAGCAGATCTGTCTCATGTTGCCTTACAAAGAGAAGCTCATAATGAATGTTTAGCTGTTATCAGTTAAGTCCAATCTTGGAGTAAGTCATAGAGAGTGACGGACCTGAGACTGATGTAGGGAAAGCAGTAGCTTGTTGAGAGCAGGAGGAGGTGGGGGAGAGAAGGCGGAAGAAGGAGGGACTGAAATGTTCTCTTTAAGTCGCCTCACCCGAGAGGAACCCTTGTGCCCAACCTTAAGGGGAGTTGAGTAAGGTGGTTACGAACCATATCCCTTGGTATTCTATCGGCCACTGTAATAGCGTTTGTAAAATATGGGGGAAAGGGATCATTTGCTTTCTTTCATGGTGTTGATGTGTGCCTGAACCTATAGCCACTAATATATAAGGCTGTCCACCTGACTTATTTGAATATGATGAGAGAATAAAGAGTAATCATTTTGTAAACGTACCAATGTGCTACCCCTTAAAGCATGTGTAGCATCTGGCAAGTCCACCCTCCTAGGCTGGCCTGGCATTTCCAGATGTTGCCTCATGGTCAGGAGAAGGTGTAATGAAGATAAATCCGTTGCTGCCCATTTGTCCTCTAAGCAACAGGGAAAGGGATGTTGGAGGTAAACAGCCCAATGATAGTGTATACAAAGGATAGATTCAATAATGAAGTCAATTCCATTGATAGAAAATGCATATTTTAACGAGATTCACAGCTACTGGGGCCCCGCCTTGGGGGTGTTTATTTCTCACCTTCCTGCTAGGAATCCCCTGGGGAAATATGACATTCTTTCCAAAGAAGGTTTGCCTGGGCTCAAAGCTTCAGGGACCTTCTGAGAACAAAACACTAATGATAGATTTTTATTTTCGGCTGCTTGGGAGAGACTTTCCAACATTCTTTCAGAATATCCACATCACTCCCTCTAGCACACGCTCACTTTCGCATCTGGTTTGTTTCATCCTTCTGAAAGAATGGTGCTCTCCCACTCTTATTCTATTTCAAAGAGCGACTCTGTCTCAACCACAGCAGCCCTGCCAAGAAAAGGAAAGATGAAAGGCTAGAGTAGGAGCCACCTTGAGATTTCAAGAAGAATCCTAGCCCAGCCGAAGATTGCAGAGAGAAGCAGGGAGCGGGAGGAGGGGCAGGAGCCCAGGATGCCCTGTGATGACTTCCATGCCAGACACTAAGGGCTTTTATCGCAGGTGTCCACATCCAGTCTGCATTTGGGGCCAGGCATTCCCTGGAAATGATTGGCACCCCTGTTGGAGCCCCCTGGAGCTGTGTCAGGAAATTACACCTGGAAAATCCAGCCAGTGTAGCAACTGTTGGAGTTACCATATACCCTTCAGGATTTCCCTTCTTTAAAAGAAGACAACAACCTTTGTGAATTTGCTGTATCTTTATCTGATGCCCCTTGTGGCATCATCATTATGTACACGCCATAGTTGAGGATATGAGGCTGCTCAAATCTTTGTGAATCCCATGATGCACTTCAGCTGGGGTTGTCATTCCATTCTCTCTCTCTCTCTCTCTCTCTCTCTCTCTCTCTCTCTCAGCCCCAGCAACTTTCATAGTATTACCCAGGTACTATGCTAAAAGGGCAGCTCTTCTACAAAATCATGCCTTGCAGCTTTAAAAAGCAAAATTCTGTATTTCATAGAGGGAGAGAGGGTCGCTCTCGCCTAAGAAAAATAGATTGGACAGGTGACTGCATGCGTGCATGTGTTTAGAGTTGCTTCAAAGAAGACAAAGAGGTAATAGCAACTAAGAAAATATAAATGAATGAATGAATGAATTGAAGGTCTAGCTCGGGCTGCTAAAGTTTTTGCCTTAGTAGAGGTTTCATATCAACAGACCCAGGAAGGAAGCCCTGATCTCTGGGTGAAAATCCCTTCCTTGACATTGTGCTGCCAATTGCTGTCCCCTAATTGCTGGCAAAGGCAGAAAAAAAAATCATATCATTGCCATTAACCAAACAGGATGCTTAAAATAAAGTAAAATTGTCCTTTCCGTTGTCCCACAATTTAGTGATTAAAGCCACATTAGGATAGGAAATTAAGTCATGTTTCTGAGGTTGCTACCCCATCTTGAAAAGGACCCTGTCTTGAAAATGAAACTAGCAGGCAAGCAAACACCTAAATAATCGAAAATTACCAAAGAACAACAAGAAAACAAAACAACGAGAAAACGTAAACATTTTAACTTCCTGTTCTGATCCCCTCTCCCTATAGCTGTGACAACTCTTGCATTGCTCAGTTGCCTGTGTGTCAAAATCACTTGTGGACATTGGAAACTATTTGAAAATGTATTGTTGTGGAATGTAATAAAATGATAATATTTTTTATACAAACATCTGAGTTTTTTTCTTCCCTTTTGCCTGTGAGAACAAAGTGGAAATGTAGGCTTTGAACAAATTCATGTTTTCAGAGCCTACAGGTTGTCTGTCTTCTGAGCTGCAGGGCATTGCTGTGGGCAGTGGGTGGGTTTGCTCCTTGGGGCTGAATGCCAGCTTCCCTTCCTTTTAGTTTTATTACTGCTTGTTAGGAATTTATCCAATTTGTGCAGCCGAGCCAACTTTTATGATTGGTGTGGGATTTTGCAAAAGTTGCTAAGTGCTAAATCGTTCGATGTGATTTCCACAAAATTTCTCTTGATGGAAAACCCCTGGAGACTGGACTCTATTTTCAAAGGGTCCCGGGGGTAATGGGACCAGGGAAGCTGAAAGGTGTGCTCGACTCTACGGAAACAGATAACTTCCTTTGGAGAAGAGGCGGCGTCTTGGGCCTCGCCTACCTAATTATTACTTCCAGAGCAAGGGGGAGCTCCCATTTCTGGGCACTTTCGCAGACAAAACGGAAACTTGTAGCATGTTCAAGGCTCAGAGATATTCCTGACTTCAATTTGGAGCAAGTTGTGAAGATAATGATAAATTACTGTGATCCTGAACTCTTCTGAAAGCAATAGCTTCTGAAAGGAACATTCCTTTAAAACTTTGAGGAGAGGGATTGGGGGAACTTATTCCAAAAGCCATGTCTTGTTGACAGGCATTTTTCTTTGGTTCTCCTCTTTGGGTTGTCAGTGATTAGTTATATAAAACTAGATGCCCGATGCACGAGATTCATGCATTGGGGTGGGGGGTGGGGGGTCCTTCAGCCCAGCCTATACCTTCTCGAAATCTGTGATATCGGGCCTAAACCGGCAGTTGGACATCCCCTTTGCAATCCGGGACCGCTGGCCCCTAACTGCTCGCCTGCCTGCCTGATCACCCCTAACCACTCTGCCTGCCTCCCTGATCGCCCCTAACTGCTCACTGGGGGGCTGCTGGCTGGGGTGAGGGGCCGTGGTCTTTCTGGTCTCTGGTCATTCTGCCGTTTTGGTCGCTGGGCTTTTATTATATAGGATATTTCTATCACGGTGGGATTAGGAGGGAAAAAAAATCTAGGAATTGCAACCTCCCATTATTGAATGTTTCTAGAATGTGGTCAAGAAGAGGTTGTGGAAGGATTTTTCCACCACCCCCTATTGGTGGAACATTTCATCAACCCAGGAGCCTTCCTCAGGGGTCTGAGAACCATGATTCAAGGTCTTAAAGGGACATATCCAAGAGGCCCAATTTCCGCCCGAGTCCTTCTTTTTCCCTCTCTCAACCTAGGTCCAGGGAAAGGTGCTCTTACAGCAATAAAACCTCCCAGTGGTGCTCAGAGGAAACGGGCTTCTGATTGTCAGGTCTCAGAGGCAGCTCTGACAGTACAGATGGCTCCACAGATGTCCCCGTCGGTCCCGGGCGGGGAGCAGAGGAGACTGTCCATGGCGAGAGCCTCGTTTGCTCCTCTAATGACAAGCATGATTGCCCATTTTGTCTGAGTAACATTTGGCTTTCCTTTCTAAAGCCATTTGTTCCCATTAGTAAAGTATTTCTTTCAGGCAAAGACCCAGACTCGGTCACCATTTTCCTGAGCTGGCCTGAGACCAAATTTGCCCGACTAAATTAAATGAGCCATCGTGTATGCTCCATTAGCATTGCTGTTTTTGGAGCCCCCTTGGAGAATTCCATCCTGCGCTTCCCGCCTTGGTTCTAACCCCACTGCTCATTCTAAAGGACCTTTCTTTGCCCCAAAAGGAGAGAAAGGCTGTTAGGACTCTGATCTTAGGTGTCCACACAGCACTATAATGTGGTATTTCAGACTGCGCTCAAGCATAAATGTTGCAGAAATCGTGTTTCCATGGATCATAAATACCAGATGTCAAGGCCCCGTATGGCCTGTTTGGGCTCCTACCTGGCCCTTTATGACGGTTTAAATGTGCGTTCTTGCTGTGGAAGTGAGACCTGCCCTCCTGCCCATGTAACCGAAGCCCCGCCGGTCTGCTGTGGCCCGTTTACTGCCCCTCCTCCCTGACTCTGCGGTGGTTTTGCACCAACATCATGGCCTTTCTGTAATTCAGTGGTTCTCAACCTGTGGGTCGCGACCCCTTTGGGGGTCAAACGACCCTTTCACAGGGGTCGCCTAAGACCATCCTGCATATCAGATATTTACATTATGATTCATAACAGTAGCAACATTACAGTTATAAAGTAGCAACGAAAATAATTTTATGGTTGGGTCACAACATGAGGAATTGTATTTAAAGGGCCAGAAGGTTGAGAACCACTGCTAATTTGTTGATGGAGAGGGCTTCATTGTTGAGCTTTGATTTGTCTGTGTGGTGGGCTGCATACCTGAGCCAGTCTGCAGGCCTGTCCACGCGGCTCATTTTCTCTCTAATTGTGCACATCGCTGGGCTTCTCACAGCTGTAGTTTGCCTTTCATCCACTTTAGTGACGGCCCAAAGAAAACACACAACAAATCCAACCAGCGAACACGGAGGGGAGGGGACGCCAGCTGATGGCCTTACAGTCGGCAGGGAGAGGCATCGCCTTATATAAATAAATTAAAAGCTGGGAAGGTGTAGGGATTAATGAAGCCTGACAGCTTGCGCGCACTGGGGTGCGTCTAGAGGTTAGATATAAGCAGAAGCCCGCACCCTCAGAAGGCGTCAGGCCACAGGCCTCGGCCAGAGCACATTAGGTCTGCTTGGCCCCAGACCTAAGCGGTGAAGAGAGGCGAGGTTTGGGGGATTGCCAAAGAGCAAAATCCCTTTCAGCATGGAATGCTGTCTATGGAGAATAGGTACCTCAGGCAAACCAGCAAAAACCATTCTTGCCCTAAGGCCAGTGGGTGGGCAGGAAGCCCAGAATCCTTCTCCTCTCTTCTGGGTAAAGTAATATTTCTTGGGGGGTTGTTTTATTTCAGTCACTGACCTTCAAGAGTTCAAAAAACCTTCATGCCCAATTCTGTGGTTTGGTTTGGTTGGGATTTGTTTTTGTTCTGCATAAATGGTATCATAGCATTTGTTCTCTTTGTTGGACAACTTACTTGTTTTCACTTGACGAAGCCTCCAGGTTTCATCAGTTCCCATGGACAAATTTACCCCGCCCTTTAGCTGCTGTAGAGCATTCCGTATCGTGTGAAGTGCCATAGTTTATTAAGTGCTCCCCTCCTGGTGAGCATTCAGGTTGTGTCCAGTTTTCTTCTTGCTTAGTTTTTACTATTATAAGCAATATTGCAGTGAACATCCTTAAAGTCACCTCTGTGCACGTGTTTGTCTCCGATAGCATGCCTGGGTCACATGGTGTGCCTGATTGCATTTTCATACATGCTTCAGATGGCTGCGGGTTTCCTTTTAAATGGACCTGTCCCCCTTTGAGAGGGCAACAAGGTCGTGGACATCAGAGAGCATCCCAGGTCACACTTGCACGAGCCGCATAATCTCTGTGACAGTCTCCCTTTCTCTAAAGTGGGCGGAGTGCTTACAAGAGAAGACTTTGGGTAGCTTTAGCCAAAGGGAATGTTAATCCCAGGGACTTTCTAAAAAACACTTCCAATATGCAGAGAAGGTGGGCCTGGCTGTACGTGGCAGCTCACCGGAGCCGAGGCAACTGTGGCCCGGGAGTTAATTCCATCCCTGGGTCCAGCAGGCAGAGCTCTGTTCTTCATGATTAATGAGTTCCACTTGGTTTCCTCAAAGAGTGGCTGTGCTGTGCCTTGCTGTTATTTATTTATGTTTTCTACTAAAAAATTCATGTAAAACCATCCTTTAAGGTCAGTGCACAGTACTGTGCTGCAGACTAAAATGTTCCAGCCGCCACAAGTAGGTCTACATGCCAACCCTGATTCTCCAGTCCTTGGGCTGAGAGGCGGTGGCCAGCTTCCTTCAGAGGAGGTTCGGGCTGGTGTGACCTGAGGAAAGACAGCAGGCGAGGAGGCTGTTTTCTAGCGGGGGGTTTATATGTGCAGGCAAAGCCACTAGCCCCAAATGGCTCCTGGCAGGAGTGGCAAATGGGAGAAAAAACAAGGGACCTGTTAGTTCCAAACACCATTTCTTCCAAGAGCGCTACCCTGTTTCTGCCGAGCACTAAGACAAAGGGGTCAGGAAAATGGGACTCTGACTCTGAGCATAATGGACCGTTTCTACGGCCGTATACGGGCTGTGTGGGCCCAAAACCCAGGACTGCTGGTTCTGGGATCTGGGGCTTGGGTAGATTCTCCGGGTGGCTCAGGGGGGAAAGCAGCATAAGCTCCAGGGGTGGGTGAGCTAGAGACGTCCCCATGCACACAAGCCTTGTGTTGCCTTCTGTGTATACTTGTGCAAAATTGAACCCTTTCAGTATCATTAACTAATATACCCACAAGCAAAGGCTCTGATCCGGAGCTGGAACGACAGTATGCCGCATCTTGGCCTTCGACCACAGCAATTTTTCTTGGCAGCAGGACTCATTAGCAGGACGCGTGGACTAGAGTTCTCTGTGCCTTGTTAGAGAGCAGCCAGCTCTGGTAATGATGCGAGTGCAGGGAAAGCTTTGAGCCGGAGGTGGCCTTGACCAGAGTCCTGTTCTCAGCCGGCCTGCTGGTTTGAGACTCTATTTGAGCACAGACTGTTAAAGAACTGTTTTGTCCCTCAGCAATTCCCCACTGCCACCAAGAAGCTGGGAAAGGGGATGTAAAGACCTCAGGGGCCCATGTCAGCTTCCTCACTGCTTCTCTAGGACAGTCCTGACAGCTGGTACTGAAGGAGGAAGACAGTCATTAGAACGTAAATGGGCGTGAGATGGGAGCATCAAAGGAGACCTGGGGTGCCTCATAGGCCTTGGCCAAATGCAGACCAAGAATGTGAGCTCAATAGTAGTGTCACGAGAATCCCTGGGCCCACACCATAATCGCCATCTGCTTCACACCTCCTGAGAGGGCCGTCGCCCCCTCCTCTTTCCCCAGGGAGGCCTGTCTCCACCTCTGCCTTTGCACCAGGTGTTCA